GGTAAAGATTTTGACCCCTTTTTAAATATTGGCACCACATTGGCCTTACGCCAATCCAGTGGTACTATGCCAGTCATTGTACAGCGCTGAGTGAACTATTAGAGCTTTATAAATACTGTATAATAATAATAATAATTAAAGAGTCCCTAAAAATGAGAAACAATGGCTTTGAAATCACAGAGCTCAGTTCCTTAAGGACCCGTGGGTGTATGCCAGCCGGTCCAGGTTCTTTATTCACCTTTTATACTGTCTAAATATTTTTGGATCATATCGATTGTGAGCCAATGTGGATCATCTGGAGCTGTGTCAATACCATGCCCATTATGGGCAAGAGTTCCCCCATACTCCTTTTGTATACACAAAGCTGAAGAAGGTATTAAATAAATTTGCCTTCTCTTTATCTCCAGTCACCCACTCTAGATTATTTTGTAAAGGGCCTACATGCTCGGACCGGACCTTTTTACTATTAATATATTTGAAGAATGTTTTGGGTTGGTCCTGCTATCTTTTGCAATCTGTCGTTCGTTTTCAATTTTTGTGGCCTTTATTTCCTTTTTGCATATTCTGTTATATTCTTTGTAATGTTTAAACGATGATAGTGTTCCTTCATTTTTATATTGAATAAAAGCTCTTTTCTTATCTTTACCTTTTTTAACTTTGGCCGTAAGCCACATAGGTTTGATTTTTAGCCTTTTAAACTTGTTGCCCATGGGAATATATTTTGCAGTGTTTTCACATAGTCTTTTTGAAGAGCTCCAATTTCTGTGTTGTGTTGATCAATGTCAATATTCCCACCCAGTCTAAGTCTTGGAGAGCAGCTCTCAGCCTTGGAAAACTACCTCTCTTGAAATTGAGCGTTTTTTTTTTTCCCATATGTGCTTGCTGTTTATAGCTAACAATAAATGAAATCATGTTATGGTCACTGCTACCTAGATGTTCTTTTATATGGACATTCGTAATAAGCTCTGCATGGTTTGAGATTACCCAGTCCAGCAGAGCATCATTCCTAGTTGATATTTCCTTGCTTTTTTTTTTTTTGGATGTCTTTGTGGTGCTGAGGCATTTTTATATGAGGCACATCTATTTATTGTATGGGGCATGCTGCTGGGGAGAGATTCAAGGAACAATCCGCTCTGAGGAAGTGAAAGTTGGGACCATCCATCTAGTCAGGATCTGCCTTCTAAACACTGTCAAACCTCTTGTAATGTGGGGTCTAATTGTCTGGTAAGCTGCTGCATGATCATAAGGTGGATGGTGCATATTTTGGGGTGAGAAGAGAACTCATTTAGTTCATGTTGGACTTTATACGCTTTCATTGATGTTGGACTGTGCTGTCTGTATCTTATTTTGCATTGTTTTTTATATGGATACACTTTTTGAGGGACAGCGCAACACTTTTCACTTTTTTTTTTTTTTTTTTTTAAATAAGTGTGCTTTGATATTTGGTGTTTAGATACAGCCACAATCATTTATTGTATATTTTGATTTATGGTGATTTATATATTTTTCTAAAATAATGAAACTATAAAAAACAGCGCAAATCACCACCTGATTCAAACAATACCATAAATATACAGTGTTTAAATCAATAAAAACATACAGTGTAATATAGTGACTCAAAGAAAAGTTATATAATAAAATTATCTTCCATACTAAAGTGTCAAAATAATAATACATAAAGGAAAGTCCTTTCTCCCATTGGTTTGTGAAAAAAACGACTATCCACACTAAATACTTTCACCAGTCACCAGTGTGAAACAACATCAACCACACTCCACAGGTGATGGTGAGTAATGCGCCTTTTAGGACGTTTAGGGATCCTAAACCCCCTTTAATGAAGCCTTCAGAACTCCTTCCCACCATATAGGGTATAAGTATTCCTTCCACTCGCTCCTGCCTTCTCCTCTCACCAAACTCCACAGCAGTGCAAGGGAAAAAATATATGACCGTGTAATACTGCTATAAATAATTGCAATACTTAAATTGCCAGACCACTCACATTTAGTAAGATGAATAAAAGCATTTAATTTATTGCCTCCATAGGCTACCAAATATTCCACTGCTTCCACATCCCATAACAGAGACCTCACAGCCTGGATAAGCAAGGGATGACAGGATCAAATCCAAAAATGGCCGCTTGGAACGCACCGCTCGGCGTGCGTTCCGCTCACCGGAAGTGACGCATGACGGCAGACCGGAAGTGCGTCGACGCGTTTCGCCCCACTCACAGGGCGTTCTCAAGACCTGGGTCTTGAGAACGCCCTGTGGGTGGGGCAAAATGCGGCGACGCACTTCTGGTCTGCCGTCCTGGCGCCCCGTGTCACTTCCGGTGAGTGGAACGCACACCAAGCGGTGCGTTCCAAGTGGCCAATTTAGGATTTGTGTGTGTGTGTGTGTGTGTGTGTGTGTGTGTGTGTGTGTGTATTTTTATTTATTTTTTCAAATATTGATGTATTGCTAACCAACAGCAAATGAGCTGTAATGCAAGCCCTCCCTGACCTCTGTAGCTGAAGGCACTGTGACGTAATTAATCCTCATCCTTAAAGTAGAACCGCACTGCATCTGAGTACCACAAACCAAAAATAATATGTAATTCATTATTTAATATTCAAAACAAACTCCTCTATCCATCCATGTCTCCATGCTTTATTTTGCTGAGAAATCGTTTTGAAAAACACCTGGCATTTCTGGCAGTGGCCATCTTGAGTAAGGCGGATGATCCATGCAGCAGTTACTTCCTGGAATCCATCTGTCTTTAGCTCAGGCATTACATGAGCTGACAACCAGTTCTCCCCTCCTGAAGACTCCTGGAATTTATGACATCATTTCCCTAGGCATTGAAACCAGGAAGTAAATGAAGGAATGCAAAAAGGTTAAAACAAGTAAATTATGCACTTCCTTGTCTATTTACTAATGCTAGCAGCATAAGGATTAGAAAATATCCATATTGATTGAGAGAATAAGTTCCGCTTTAATTTCTGTAAATTCACTGCAGAAACACTGAACATATTAACTGAAGTTTGGGATACACATTTTATTTTCTTGCTTTTAACTGGTACTGGCAGTTACCTGCATGTGCCAAGGCTACACAGAAGATTTTTAGTAGTCTGATCCTACTACTTACTTTGGAAGCAATTTTGTCCTCTTGCACACTGCTGGGGAAAAACATAGTAGTTTTTTTTTTTTTTTTTTTTTAAGGGTTTCAGGCATTTTTTACTGATTTAAATGCAGACCATTGTTTTCAATGTGCCCATACACAGAGCTGCGTAAACATGCGCTGCGTTTAAATCAGAAAAAAAACTATAAAAATCTGCATTGTTGGTCGGTATGTTTTGTGCGTATTTGCACAAATAGGCTTAAATTTGTGCATACACCACTCTTCATTGAAATAAAGCTAGAAGAATTTTTATGCTTGTTTGTGTATATATGTGTAAATACACACAAGTGCCTAATGTTCATACATCACAGTACAGTAAACAAGAGGCATTAATCCCTAGGTGTAGAAAATGATTGCTAGTTAAGTGAAACAAATATCGCCCTATGAAGTAGGCAAGGAATGAAGTGTAATACAGCAATCAAATGCGTATGAATGGAGCAATTGTATAGTTAACCTGCAGCTTGGTGAGCCTGTGGCACACCTAGCGAATAATTTAACGATTTTAGTAGCAGGATTGAGTTAGTAAAAAATCTTTTGTGTAGCTTCAGTCTATTCAGGGAACTACCTGAAAAAAATGAAGTGGCAGGAGAATAAAATTGCCCTAGCTTAAGCCATCATATCCTTTTTCCCCTCTGATATAAACACAAAGCCACTGCCAGGGGCTGGAAGGAGAGTGAGCTGAACTGCTGAGAGAGCCTACTAGAATGACTACAGTGGTTCTGCTGTAAGCTTTGCAGTTTAATTGTTTCATACAGGCAGAAGTCAGTAAGTTCTTGTTTTAAAGCTAATTTACAGTTTATGAATGTGCAAATGATGTAAATGTCCAAACATTAAAGAACAACTGAATTTCTTTTTTTGTAAACTTACATTGATCTAGCTTGGCTCAATTTAAGTATCCATAGATGATATCCGGAGGGCTGCTGGGAATTTACTGTAGTAGTCTGCTCTTCATACTGTGATGGTCGTGATCTGTGGGTTCTGCTCCAGCAGGCTTCCACACTGAACACAGTAGGGTCTGAGAACGCTACATATCTTTTTTTTTTTTTTTTTTTTTTTTTTTTGTTTTGTTTTTAGTGCATATAGGACATTATCGGACTACATGAGGTGGAGATTGTGACAACATCGCTTTGTATAGCTTAAAGAAAAAATACAAGGTGCTCTCTGAATGACTTTAAGGGCTGACTCTGTTTTTAGTGTGCAGCAGGGGAAGCAACTGGGAGCAACACTCAGGACACCATGAGTAGCATGGACTACTACAGTAATATGCATCTCGAGAAGTCCTCTGGATAGCAAATATGAATACTTGCTTCAAGCTAAGCTGGACCAATGTTTACAAAAAATATCTGAATTTACACTTTAGGCCCTAAAACATTAAAGTAAGAATTTAAAGTAAACCTATCATTGGATTGCTGTTATTGTACGATGCCATTATTACAATAAACAATGATCCTGGATTTTACAACATCTTTGGAGAGACATGGATGCTGTTATTGCTGACCAGATACTGACCTGGAACAAGTGTGCAAATCAGGATAGTCAGAGTAAAGTAAAAAGTCCCTACCATATCTTAAAAAAAAAAAATGAAAACAAAAAAAAAATCCTTATCTGCATACACTGTATGTTCTGGGTTAGTGACACAGTATTGAGGCGAAGAGGGTCAGTATGATGGTCAGGCTATTGCCATCCTCAGAGAGAGAGGGCGCAGCCTCTGTTTCTCCCATTACAGGTGTTTTTTTTTTTTTTGGGTTTTTTTTTTTTTGGGAGTACTATTCCTAGCTGCTACATAGTTTTTGCTTGTTACAGCATTTGATTTAAGTCTTGATTATACACTTTCCTTCCACAGACAGAAAAAGGAAGTGCGTTACATGAAGCTGCCTTATTTGGAAAAACTGATGTGGTACATATGCTACTAGATGCAGGTACATATTTGTTAAAATATCACATTTTATATAAAATATGAAATCCAAGATGTTTGTTACATTAAATGGGATTGAAGCGAATGAAACTTCCTGGTGTCACTGAGGATCCTGCCACACTTGTTGTTCACAGGTCGGCTGCAGCACAAAGGTGAACTTATCCTTAAGGTAATGGGTGGTCTCACAGACCAGTAGGGAGGTTTGGGAGGAGATGGGACCAAGCTTGACTATCTCAGGTAGTCCCACCCCCAATTGTCTCTGATTTACTGAATCCTGTGTCCCTTAACAAATCATAAAGAAAACAGGATTTCTTTATATATATAACCCCTCCCACAGTGTGATTTCGAAAATGTGCAGCAATTCACTTCTGTTACCATTCATTCGCATCTGCGCATTTCTGAACACGCAACCCGCAAGAAAACGCACACTTGTGTACCATGTAGGCTGAGTTTGCATCTGCGCATTTCTGAACACGCAACCCGCAAGAAAACGCACACTTGTGTACCATGTAGGCTGAGTTTGCATCTGTGCGTTTCTGAACGTGTGGCAACCTGCACAGGAAACTCGCACTTCGCCACACGTTTCAGAAACGCTCATTGCACTTGCCTTGCCATCATGGTGAAGCAAGTGCAATGTGCATTTGCAGCACATTTCTGAATGCGATGCAAAGCATGCGTTTTTTGTGTGGGTTGCTGTGAATTTCAAAACATGCAGATGTAAATGCAGCCTAATTGTTAACGCCCCAATCATGGTTAGCAGTTGTGTGTATTTGCCACACGCGCTGAAATCATGTACCAGAAAAAAAGTAACACTATGATTGAAAACGTTCTAGAGCGCTATTGGGGTATTTGTCACGCGTAGGGCAGCCCATTCAAGTGACACACGTTTCCACTACACACAGAAGGAAGTTTTTAGGCGGCAAGGATGACGAGAGGAAAGTGAGGGTTTAAAAAAAACAAACAAACCCACTGCTCCCTCAAGGTCGTATAGGAATGCTTCTTATCAGTAAAGTCACATCGCTGGGAAGTCGTATAGCAAAATCACCTGGAAGTCGTGGCTTTCATGTCACGCTAATGTGAACCAGGGCTTAAACACTTTGCACAACAATACCCTATAGACCAGAAATTCTTAAACATGGGTTGTAACTGAGGTAGACATAGATATCTCTTGCCTCAGCAAGACTTGTACGACTCCAGCTGAGGATTTTCAGGGACCCTGTGGATAAGTGCTTTGAGGTCCTACTTGAGGCTTAATTTTCCAAATTGGGACCAACTGCACAAATAATTTTAGGTTACCGTGGTGGTGTGTTGGACACTGAGTATATGGTCCAGGCAGCTGGCTAGGAACTCTAGTGGTATTAGCCCCTCTTTTAAAAGTCAGACCTGTTTCCAGCAGCCTTCGCTATTTTATGGACGGAATGAGTGATACCCTGCGGCAATTATTTGGTATTGTACTTTTGTTTGTACATGTGTAAATAATTCACTGGCTGAAATGTTGGTTCACTAAACCAGCCTGTAAGAAAAGATTGGAAAGGATGTTTAAAGGTGAAGTTTTTATCAAAAAAGTAACAGGCAGTAAAAGTACACTTTTGCCCAGTAAGTAGTTTAGTGTCTGTACCGTAAGCTGGGCTCCTTGTCTCAGAAGTCTTCCTTTTATTCCCCTCAGGGCTAAACCAGGCAATTCCATTGTTGCAAGTCTTGGTCTTCTAGACCCTCTAAACCTTGTCCCAAGTCCCCTTCACAATGAAGGGGTGCCCCCACTGTTATCGGCGAGGGGAAGTTTACTGACCTTTACGAACATATGTTGCCTGGAGATCTCCGACTCCTTCATAAAGGAGGTCATAATTTCAGTCATCCACCTTGTCTTTGGCTGTCAGATGTGCTTTTGTCTGCTCAGCATAGAGCAGATTTACTGGATACTGTATCCCAACTGCAGGTTGAGGGAGTTGTGACACAGGTCCCCGAGAACGTACAGTTTCAAGGGTTTCCTTGATCCTGTTTATGATTCCCAAAACGAACGGGGAGGTCAGACCCATTCAGGACCTCAAATTGTTAAGCCCTTTTCTGAACATTGCAAAGTTCCAGGTGAAACCTGAGATTAGTAATGGTAGCCCTTGGTAGTGACCGGGGGAATTCTTGGCATTGATTATAAAAGATGCATGTTTTTTTTTTTTTAACTTTATTGAAAAAAAATTGCACATACAAATTTATACTTGTCAAGCCAACACAATGGCAAGTACTATGCAGCAAATAGTGTATACAAAGGGAATTGTGACAGTTCTAGAGTATCAAAGCCTGTTCCACACATACTGCAGCAACAAATAGGTACATCCATGTATATGCGCAAGCAGAAAAATCAAACAAGAAGAAAAAACTTATATTAAACAAGTAACAAAAAAGAAAAAAAAATCCAGAGTAAGCAATTGGACATAAGAATAAGTGTAAGAATAATAAGGCACCCAGCACCATAAAAAGTTTCTTAAATTAAAAGAAGGGCACAATATTAGCAGTTGTCCCAAAAGTCATAACACCCTGACTTCCAGCCCAAACAGGGATGGTAGCAAATACAGAGGGGAGGGTTTGACTAAGGTATGGGGTCAGAGACCGAATGTAGAAGAGGGTCACTGGTGACCTGTGTGTCCATCCAGGGTCCCCATACGCTAGTAAACTTTCCTGGACACCCTCTCGCCTCATACGTTGGCTTATAAATTGGGAGGTTCTGATTAATTAAACGTTTCTACAAACCAATATGCAGGGGGTCAGAGCTAATCAAGTATAATACAATGGTCAAAAAGACACCACTTAGGACCACAGACATTGGGGAGATCAAGATAAAGTGAAATAAATGCAGTAATCTCAGACCGAAACGGTCTGACCTTAATGCGCGACCAAACCATATGCATAAAGTCCCCTTGTTCTGACTCACATTTATGGCATGTGGGGGTGGCATGTTTGTGCATAAGAAATAAACGCTTAGGTGTATAATATGGTTTGTGTAAATATCTCAATTGTATGAGCTTGTCCCTAGCAGAGATTACAGCATCAGGATATGAGGCATTCACCTCCTTCCAGTCATCTGGAGAGAGGTCTGGGATATCAACCAGCCACCTTTTTTGTACTTTAGTTAGCTGGGCAGAAGGTCTGTCCAGTAGTAAGGAGTAATAAGTAGAAATAAGTCATCTGTGATTAGATGAAAAAAGTTTACGCTCAAATTTAGAAATAATTAAACGCACCTCCAGGAGTCCCAGCTGCGTATCTGCTGTGTGGGGTACTTGTAAGTACCTGAAGTGCCACCCCAGGGGGATATGTAGCTCTCTGCAAGTGTATAAAAGTTTTTTTAAATACACCCCCTTGATATAATTGATGAAGATTGGTTAAACTATACCTAGCCCAATGCAGACTATCTGGTAAGTCACAGAAGTGTGGCAAACGAGGATTAAACATAATGGATGATTGGGGGAACGTAGATGCTTAGCGTCGTCTAAAATATTTTAAGCAGTGGTTTAAATTCACAGAGAGCACTTTAGAGTTACCGCCCCTATGGTAGTGTTAAGTGTTCATCTGTAAAGAGGAGACCCCTGCCGCTTTGGCCGCAGAGGCTGCATCACTCTGTTAGGAGAAAAGCTACCAATGGAAATAAACCAATTGAGCAGCATAATATTAGATGTAAATTAGGCAATGCCAGACCCCCCCCCCCCCCCCGGAGACAGGAATCTGCAAAGTCTCCAAAGAAAGTCTGGATACCTTAGGGTGCCAAAGGAAGGTAGTGAAAAGTGAGTTAATTTCCTGGAAGTGGTGGTCGGAATATACTGATATACTGGGATTAAATTGCGAACATACACTAAAGGGAAGGATGCAAATTTGCATATCCCAATCTTTGCGCCACACCAAAGTTACCTCAGTTTTTGTATTGTGGGACAACCACTTTAAGTTTGTGGCTCTCCCCTTTGCTGTAGCCTTGGCTCCCCGAGTTTTAATGAAGTTTATAGCACTGGTCAGGCTCTGGTACGATACAAAGGGATCCACATCCTGGGTTATCCAAATGATCTCCTTTTGTGGGAAAGGTCAGCTTTACTTTAAGGGAGAACCTCCATTGGATGATTCAGGTTTTGCAGACCTTTGGTTGGATGCTCAACCTACACAAATCAGTTGTAGACCTGTCCCTGGGATTGGTGCTAGATACTATCCAGAACTTGGTGTTTCACCAGCAGGAGAACAGGTATTTAGATAGCGCCATCAATTTACACGTGTGTGTGTGTGTGTGTCCATGCTCCCCAAAAAAATTAAAATTTTTAGGTCTCTAGCTCATATTCGTAAATACAGAAACTAGGGCCAATTTGGACAGACCCAATTAACCTACCAGCATGTCTTTAGAGTATGTGAGGAAATTGGAGTACCCAGAGGAAATTCGCACAGGGAGTATATGCAAACTCTGCAAGATGACCTCATTTGTGACTATATAGATGTAGTTAGGGAGCGCTAGAGCATCGACCCAATAAGGGATTAGAGATGCACCATGGATGGATGTATTAATAAGAGGTCCATGTGGGTATGTCATCCAGGTCGATCTTTAAAATGGACTGCTTAGAGGTATGTCGTCTTGAAGGAGGAGGCAGCCATATTAAAATGAAAAAGCAATAATAGTGAGATATTGGAAAATATTGTTTTAAAATTAGAAAATTAGAATTATTAATCATTTTGTTTAATTTTCTATTTTATTTTTATTTATTCCTTTTGTACACACATCAATTTTTAAAACTATATTTTCCAATATCTCACTATTATTGCTTTTTAATTTTTGCAGGACCCTTAAGGTCTTTTCCAAAAGCCAATAGCTTCTATTGTAAGTATTATATGCATATCTTTTTTTCAGTATATTCCGTTGCTGCATGTCTAACACTTTGTTCACCGCCAATTATCCGGCACACTAAGCATAGACTATCCCCATCTGACCAGCAGTGTGGGCAGACCAGTGTTCCCCTACTCCGCCTACCTGCTTTGCCCATGTAAACCTCAACTAAGATGGCTGCCGGATCGGCTTGAGGATGGAGCGCACATGCTCCGAACGTGCCAATTTTGGAAATCCGATCCGTGAGTGACACCATCAGAGTGGTGCCGCTGTCTCTCTTCTCCTTTATTTGTGACTATAGCCTCTGTAAGGAGAGTCTGAGTTGGTGGCCTTTTCCTACAAGGACACTTTAGTGTTGTTCAAGTTGTCATTAAGGCCTTTGGTCTGGAGCATGATGTTCTTCCCTTCCCAGTTAAAGCACGTTCTACTAGATCTGTTAGTGCCACATGGATTTTGCAGACGTTTGTTCCACAGATTTGCAAGGCTCCCACCAGGTTTTCTGTTTACACGTTCAAGTTATATCAGGGGATGTTCAAGCCTCCTCCTGATGCCAGTTTCTTGCATAAGGTGTTACAAGTTTTTCCCTGAGTCTGTTGAGCCCTTCTTTGGCATGATTGTAACATGGACCTTTTGGGGTTGTTTGCTGTGTTTCCCGCCCCTCACTTGGATGCTCTTTAACTTGCCAATAAAATTTGTTTCCTGGATTACAGTACACAGGACACTCCCCTCTATTATGATCTCCCTATTGCTTGTCACAAAACGGATGCAGGAGTGGGAGGGGTTATATAGAGGGATGCCCTTTCAGCTTTCCTTTGCCAGTGTCCAGTCACCTGAAGGTAACTGCATATAACTCAGGCATTGTGATTTAAAGAAGCCTGTGTCCTGTACTGTATTGTATTCCAGGAAACTGATTTTACTGGTAAGTAAAAAAAAAAAAACTGATTTTTTTTTTTAACCACCTAGTGAAGACTTGAACCCTGTGACAGAACATAACTGTGCCTTTGACACCTGGCAATGTTTGTTTAGATTAAAGGACAAAGTCTAAAGATATATAGAGTTGATAACAGGTGTGCAAATGACAAGTCATATGATGTTTAACTTGTCCTATCAAGATATAAAGGTAGGTGGACACAGCAACCGATTACAATGGTACCTCGGTTTACGAATGCCTCGGTTAACGTAATTTCTGGTTTACACAGTTATTACTAATTTTTTTTGCAATTCGAAGTGTATGTCAGTGATGATTTGTAAATGCAATTGCCGTTTTTTTTTTCTTCACTATAGCTCACAAGATTAGCTGTCACTTTCCCTGGAGTTACAGGAAACTTTGTTTCTTTTAACTTGGGGAAATACACTAAAAGAAAGCTTTCTCTCTTTTAGCTGGGGGGAAAGTGACAGCTGAATTTCTGAGATATAGTGAAGAAAAAAAAAAGCGGTAATTACTTTTTAAAAACCAGCACCATAATAATTAAACCGGCGTGGGGTCCCCCCTCCTATCTATATCAAGCCCTTCGAGAACTCCCACTCCATAATTTAAAAGAAAATGGCATGGGGGTCCCCTCCAAAATCCATACCAGACCCTTATGCGAGCATGCCCCCTCCTGAACCATACCAAGCCACATGCCCTCAACATGGGGGAGTGCTGTGGGCAGGGGGGCTCCCCACCAAAGCACCTTGTCACCATGTTGGGACAAGGGCCTCTTCCCCACTACCCTGGCTAGCCGGTGGTTGGGGGGGTCTTCAGGCAGGAGGCTTATCGGAATCTGGAAGCCCCCTTTAACAAGGGGGCTCCCAGATCCCGCCCTCACCCCATGTGAAGGAGTATGGGGTACATGGTACCACTACTCATTCACAAAAAACAAAAAGTGTGTGAAAAATGACAGGACACAGTCTTTAACAAGTCCTTTATTAAAAGAAAAAACTAAAAGACTGTCCCCCGCAGTAGATCAAACGTCAGTCACAATACCCACCGCCGCCAACCCAAAAAAGGTTCTGTTCCCGACGATGGCTGCCAGCCCTCTGCCTCTGAGCTGGCTTGACAGTGTTTAAATATGTAAGGGGTGGGGCCACCCGGGGACATCACACATGAGACCCAACCCCATGTGACATCAATTTTTTCTTTTTTCGGGTCGGTGGCAGGCACCGTGATTGACGTTGGATCTACTGCGGGGGACATTCTTTTAAGAAAGGACCGTATCCTGTCTTTTTTTTTTTTTTTTTTTTTTTTACACTACGTTTTTTTTGTGAATGAGTAGCAATACCATGTATCCCATACTCATTCACATAGGGGGTTGGTGGGATCTGGGGGGCCCCCTTTCCTGACCTGTCAGACTGCATGCTCAGATAAGTGTCTGGTACGGATTTTGGGGGGGACCCCCATGCCATTTTTTTTTTTTTTTTTTTTTTTTTTTTTTTTTAATTCTGGCGTGGGAGTTCCCTTCAAAATCTATACAGACCCACTGACAGCTGAAATATTAACACTTGGTTGTCACTAGTAAAAATCATGCAAGACTTAATAAAATAACTCATGCGGTATTTTAGTAGCGTTTACTTTTTTTCTGACCTCCGGAATGAATTAATTGGTTTTCAGTGCATTCCTATGGGAAACGGTGTTTTGGTTTACGAATTTTTCGCTATATGAAAAGTCCTGCACAACAAATTAAACTCGTAAACCGGGGTATTACTGTATACTTGTTTTTTTTTTTTTTTTACACTCCTACCCTGGAACTTTAAAATTTGTTGCTTTAGACATTTTAAAGATTTTATGTTCAGGAACTTTAGTTACATGCACAATAGAACTCTCTTTTTACAGCTGGTGCATATTTCCTCCCAAGGACATAAAATATTGGTTGATTATTGTTTAATATGCTTGGCAAACTCTTATGTTCCTTTTCTCTTCTCTGATTATTCGTTATGCAGCAATTTTAAGAGAAATTATTTGGCATTCTCATTTCTTTTTTTCTAGGAATTGATGTCAGTATCACAGATAACAAAGGAATGACAGCACTGGATATTGTACAAGAGTTGCCTTCACAAAAGAGCCAGCAGATAGCATCTTTTATCCAGGGTGAGAGCTTTGTGAAGATATGCAGTTTATCCAAAGCTGTTGGGAGTTATTTGCAGAAACACTATATAAATAGATATAGTAAAATATTTTAAAGTGAATTTGTAGTGTTTTTGAATATTATTTATTTAAATTATTTAATGCTAATATAATTTTTTACAAATATCTTGTCTGTATTTTCAGTCAGGTAAATATCATTACATATAATTTTTTGTTTTCTCATTTTGGGCCTGCAGGTGAAGCTGTCTTCTATATCCTGTTTTTGTTTGGGGAAAAAAAAAAAAAAACGGAATGGGTGAAGTTGAAAGTTACAATTCGAGCAGCCACTCATTCTCCTTTACTCCCTTTTTCTTTAAAAGAGAAGTATGGGAATATTTTTTTTAAAACCTATTTTACCTAGGTGGATGCAGAATCGATCCACCGATGGCTCTAAGGCTGAGTGATCAAAGGCCGCTGCTTGCTCAGTTCTTCCTGCCGCTCTGAGCTGAGAGCAGTGACTGTCTTGGTTCTGAATGCAGAATCCACGTCTCCACTGTTGTTATGGGACACTTTGAAGGCCTGGGTCAGGGGTGAATACATCTCTCGAATTAGCCATCTTCAGAAAGATGCAGCCCTTTAACTTGCTATGTTGGAGGATGAGGCGCAGAATTTAGAGATGGATTACATTGCGTCTCCGAATCCCAAACATTATCAGGCCTGGCAACACGATCTACGTCAGCTCTCTGTGGCCCGGGTGGAAAAGACTAAGAAAGCCCTTCTCTCTTCTGCTCAGTAGGTTTTTGATTATGGGGGCAAAAATTACTGGCTCGGCTTGCTAAGGGGCAATCGCCAACTACTCATATTGGCAGTATCAAGGATGTAGATGAATGGACCGTATTAATGCCCGATTTATGAATTTTTTCCAGGATCTATACATCTCTAGGGCCAGGTACACGACACTGGACTTGCTACCTTCCTTGACACTGTTCCTTTCCCCACCTTAGATCAAACATCTATGTAGCACCAGGACGCAGACATTACCCTAGAGGAGGTCCAGGGTGCGATTGGTGGTCTTCAGACTGGGAAGACTCCTGGGGCAGATGGCCTCCCATCAGAGTTCTACTCCCAGTTTGTTGGCCTTCTGGCCCCTAAGCTTACAACTTTCCTGGCAGACCTTCCTTCCTTGGACTCACTCCCTGCTTCTATGGAGGAATCTATTATTGTATTGATTCCCAAGCTGGGGAAGGACACTTTGGAATGTGCCTCCTACAGGCCAATGTCACTGTTAAATGTTGATGCTAAGATTTTTGCCAAGAACCTGGCGAAGTGCCTCTCCACGGTGATTGAGGAGCTGATTAATATAGACCAGACGGGTCTTATGCCTGGGAAGGGGATTGATATCAATATAAGGCGCCTTTTCCTGAACTTATCTCTTCCACGTGATAACATAGGCACCGAGTAATTGCCTCCTTGGACGCCGAGAAGGCGTTTGACTCAGTAGAGTGGGTCTATCTATGGGAAGTCCTCAGGTGCTTTGGATTTGGGCCAAAATATATCACCTGGATCCAGTTGTTATATAAATCCCTGAAGGCACGTGTTTTTTACTACTAACTGGGTGTCCGATCCATTTGCACTGCATCGTAGTACCCATCAGGGCAGCCCCTTATCTTCTAGTTTATTATCCTTGGCACTGGAACCCCTGGCCATTTTAGTTAGGGAATCTCCGGAAATTAGGGGCCTCCTGGTAGGTACACTGGAAGAAAAATTGTCCCTTTGAGGATGATGCCCTATTGTATCTTAATGATGCAGGTCCCTCACTCCTGCAGGCTTTGGAGCTTTTTCATGCGTATGGCTACTTCTCGGGTGTCCATATAAATTGGTCTAAGTCTCTCATTTTTGCCCTGGCTGACGGCGCTTGCGTAGAAGCGTGTCCGTGTTCACTTATGTTGGTTGATAATTTCTGTTATCTGGGAGTTCACATCACTAGGAACATATCCTATTTCCAGGATCATAATCTTCTTCCCCTTCTGTCATTATTACAGGAGCGGTGTCAAGCTTGGTCAAGTCTTCCCCTAAATTTGTTAGCCCTTGTCAATATTTTAAAAATGATGTTCCTACCTCAGTTCAATTACATTATTCAAAACTGCCCGGTGTGGGTGTCTGCACCATTTTTTTAGGAACATAGATCACCTGGTAGTTTCTTTTATCTGGAATGGTACTCTTCCTCATCTTACGAAGTCCGTTTTATATCTCACTCCTCATTTTGGAGGCTTGGCACTCCCAACCTGCACCCCTGTGATCCACAGGAGAAATACAGCCAAACGAGCTTTGGCTGTATTTCTCCTTAATATTGCTACAAAAACGTTTCAAACTGCATTCACCACGTTGTGGTGTGTTAACGTTTATGCTATAACATGCTATTCTGCTCATTGTGTTAAAGTGACCCCTTCCCTAAATCTCACATTAATGTGCATCTCTGCATCCTATGACATGGTGGGGAGGGTGGAAGGGTTTGGGTTTGTCGGGTGTTGCATTTCCTTCTTTAAGGCTGTCAATTATTTTAAATGGGCTATCCGATGTACCAAAAATAGTGAAGCACATGCTTTGCACCTTTACACAGTCTCAGAGAGTGCAAGTGAAGATAATCATTCTTGCTCTGTCTTTATAAAAGCCATAGTGTTTCGTGAATCCTGTGTCATGAGTGTGTGCTCTTTATAAAGTTTAAATTTGTGAAGAAAATTGTGTGTGTGCGTGTGACAGAGAGATGAGAAATACTGCATGTGCAACCTATATACCTTTTTGGCTCATGTTCTTCTTATATTAACCCTGTATGTCATCAAGGCCACAGTGCAGCCAGGCAAGCCGCAAAAGATCCGGAACCAGAACCAGCAGCCAAACCTAGTACATCTGTTTGTACAGATTCACAAGCAGGTAACTATGAACTAAACACTCTTTTTTTTTTTTTTTTTTTTTTTTTTTTTTTTTTCTTTACTGTTTAGCAGACATACATCCCAGCACTTGCATTGTAGGATTAATGTATCCTCACGAATTTCATAAATAACTTGCTTTTTAGGTGGAATGCAGAGAGCACTCTTGGATTTGCGTTTGGATTTAGACAGCATTTCGCAAACGGAGTCTCCTTATGAAGCACTCTATAATGCCTCCTCCTGCCACTCTTTGGATAGCATATGCAGTGGACGGTCCTCTGATAGGGACTCCCTATGTCGTGAAATTGCAAAAACACGAAGGGTGAGCATAATTATATATCTTTGTGTGTATTTACCCCTTTTGTTAGTAGTTTTTATCATAATATAACTGTTCCACAGAAGGAACGACCGCCACCACCTGCTAAACCTCCGCCAGAAGAAGATGAAGACTTTGAGAGGAGACAAAATGCAGGTGCTATTCGTGAAGTAAGTTTACCTTGTTTCCACTGTCTGTGAAATAGGTTGCCTTTGCTGGATTTTTTTTTTTTTTTTAAAGTTTAGAGATTTTGTCACTATTTAAGTAACTGGGGTCAGTGCCATGACTAATGTGATGGACAGATCACAAGCACTAATTGGCTACTGGTTACAAGTTTGACACTTGAGCTATTGCCCATAAATGAGTGGTAATTAACATTATTGTTTCTATTATTACCTGTTATTTATTATTCGCATTGTCCAGAGAGAGAACTATAAAGCTAAACTGCTTCTTACAACCGTTATCCAAACTGTATCTCTGTTCCCCATGATCTATATATAATACATATCCTGTAGATGTGTGGTCATTTGTGTACTGTGACAGACCCAACCAGGACAAAGGGCTAGCCTTCGACAAAATGATTATGGCCCATGGAGGTGACCATGGATTTTGTCTGCTTCTTCCTGTCAGAGCATGGAAAAGAACTCAGTTCAGCCTCTGATCACATGAAGAGAGCATATCAGTCTGTGATGATGGGTAATAACGTTATGAATGCTGAGAGCGAGGCTTGGATTTATTCTCTGAATAAAGACAATAAAGCTTTCCTTCTGGAGTGGATGGGAAGGTTTAATAATAATCTTGTAGAGGTTAATGGTCAGAGGAAATATGGTAGCCCTCCTGCAGACTGGGTTGGAGAAGTTCCTCCACTTGGGACAGAAATATTTATCAACAATCTCCCTCAATATATCAATGAAGAAGAAGTCCTGGCTGGCCTGAGTGCTTGGCTGTTGATTAGCTTACTGCTTGATTAGATCACTGTTAGATGTTAATTGCTAGCTGTTGATTAGCTTACTATTAATTATAAAATGACAGCATGTTAATAATATATGAAAGATACCCTGGGTTTGTGCTGAAATGTCAGGCCTGCCATATTGCTGATTAGGCAAGGAGTCCCTTCTCTACCTCCTTCCCTTTGTTAGAAATTGTCATGTAGCCTGAGCTCCCAGCTTATAATGCGATGTCAGGCAGGGATGTGCATCAGGTGTGATACAAGGACACCAGATGGTGCTGCACAGAAGAGGATCAGGGAAGCTTGCTTGTCAGTACTCCGCCCTTGGGTAACCATGACATAATACATACATGCTTTAACACATGCTAGTTGTGTGCTGTCTTTATATACATCTTACTCAAGTTAAAGCTGGACAACAATTTTGTCTAAATTTGATATGGAGCCAAGGTAGAAGTTTGTACTGGAAAGTGTAAACACCACTATATCCAAGTTAGAAGTTGAGGGATACATTTTAGGACCTTTTAGATGATGTATTGTCTGTAATTGCTTTCATGACAGGTGTCATGAATCTTAACTTAGCGGATTTTGGACAGTGTCTGGGGATATTAACCTAAAAAAGTCTTGTGGGTAACAGGCAAGCTTAACCACTTCCAGACCGGACACTTTTACCCCCTTCCTGACCAGGGCAATTTTCAGCTTTCAGCGCTATCACACTTTGAATGACAAGTGCGCTGTCATGCAACACTGTACCCAAATGAATTTTTTACCATTTTTTTTTGAGACAGATAAAGCTTTATTTTGGTGGTATTTACTCACCGCTGGGATTTTTATTTTTTTTGCTATGTAAATGAAAAAGTCCAAAAATTTTTTAAAAAAGTGTTTTTTTTTTATACAATTTTGCAAATAAATAATATTTCATCATAAATCTTTGCCAAAATTTATTCTGTTATCTTTTTAGTAAAAAAAAAAAATCCAAATTAGTTTATAACCAAAAATTATAATTTTTAAACATTTTTCTTTTACATTTTTTTTTAATTTTTTATATTTTTATTTTTATTTTTTTTTTACATACTGTCACCCTAGCAGTACAGTGGCACCATGGTGACACTGTACTACTTGTGTGGGGGGGTGATGAAGATTTTTTTTTTTTACACTGATTGCTTTTACACCCATATAGGATGTAAAGGCAATCATTTCTCTTTCTCTCTGTGTGCATTCTTGCACTCATTGAGAAGTACTGAGTGAGCTGTGATTGGTCACAGCTTGTCACATGGTACAAGGCTGTTGTGAATAGCCTTGTACCATGTGACCTCTGTGATCATTCACAGATTTCACACGTAGTAAGCAATGATGTCACAAGTGACATCTTGCTTACTACTTTGCATGTGATCACTGATTGGCCAATCAGTGATCACATGATCGGGACCTCGTACAGAGGTCCCGTCCGACGATCGGTGTTTCACTGTGTCCGGAGGACACAGCGGGCACCGGAACGCGGTGCTGCGCGCTCCGAGGGAGCGCGCACAAGCAGGGTGCAGGGAGGCCGTTTATAAACGGCCACCCGACTCTGCACTGCCACCGTCCGGCCGTTTATATGCAATGGCCGGTCGGGAAGTGGTTAACCGAAATCTCTTTGGGCAGAAGTTTTTACTTTGTGATTTAGACTTGCTGTATTCTAAGGTTACATTAAAAAAAAGCTTTAAAGGGAGTTGTCATTGTATTATCCATTATTGGTTCATGATTCTATATGTGCTTTAATTCATGTCTGCATAGCTGTTTGGGAATATGTTGTTTGTAGTTTTTTGAACTGCTTAGGATCCACTTAAAAATATAAATGTCAAATTTCTTACTGATTCCTGTGTAGGTTGCAGCTTGTAATTCAGATGCTATGGGAGGTAAATCTATTACAGCAGAATTACAACTTGCTAGCAACCATACAAAAGCAAATTTTGTTAATAAAGGATGGTGAGTTGGTGTTATAAAGTTCAATGTTAATATCAAGGGAGTGCTTCTTTGCAGCAAAACTTGTGCCACTTTAGAAAGTTTTTCAAACAACTCTTTTTGCTCAGCAGCACTTGCTCACCGCTGTTGTTTTAAATCCCTTGCATGGATAGGAAAAAGCATTATTGCTAGGACACCAGGGAAGCTGATATCAGATTACTGTCTGTGCTATTGACAACAGCTGAAGTACGTCATCATGGCATAACACTCTGCAAAATACCAGCATCTCCCCAGTGCTGAAACAGAGTATGAGGATTGCAGATGCAATAGTCAGCACTGCATTATAAAAATGTGCATAAATACTCACCTGCTGCTTTCTTTTGGAGATAAGAGGGCAGTAAATAATAGCAACATTTTTAAGTTACACTGGTGTGTAAATTTCTTGTTTAACATTTTCAGGATAGCTACGTCTAGATCAGCAATGGGCAAACTACGGCCCGCGGAGTGTAATACTGTCAGGATGGCTGTCAGGATGTGTGTAGGTGGGGCAGCGTGACGAACGTGAGGGGAGCTATGTTCCTCTCACAGTCCGCCCTGAAGACCGGTGTAGCATGAAAATCTGTCTCCTATGAGGATCTGTCCCCCTCGACGTATCTGCGCATGTGCCGGAGATCGCCGATCGGCTGCTAATGCCTGAAACTGGCACATGCGCAGATACGTCGAGGGAGACAGATCCTCATAGGAGACAGATTTTCATGCTACACAGGAACGGCGCGGGAACACGGCGAGAGGAACGCGCGGAGCAAAGGTAAGTGAATTGACACAGGGGGGACTTAATATGGGGAATGAATTACTATAGGGGGAATAAATTACTATAGGGGGGATAATTACTATAGGGGGATGAATTACACTATAGGGGGATGAATTACTATGGGGGATGAATTACTATGGGGGATGAATTACTATGGGGGATGAATTACTATGGGGGATGAATTACTATATGGGGGATGAATTACTATGGGGGATGAATTACTATATGGGGGATTAATTACTATGCTTACTATGGGGGAATATTACTATACTTACTATGGATGACACATACACATCATTCATCTACTCTTGGTCCGGCCCCCGGGTCCAATATATGAACCCATTGCGGCCCTCAAGTCAAAATTTGCCCACCCCTGGTCTAGATTGTCATTCTATATTGTCTTATGGAGACAGTAGGAAAAGGGGAACTAACCGATTATATCTCTGATTTTCATTAACCTATATCTGTTACGCCTGCTTTCACAGAACTTTTTTGTTTCATTTACAGTAACTGTTAAACTAGCATTCACAAAAATCTGGGCAATTTCACTTCTGTTTTTTTTCTGTTTTCCCTCAAGGCTCTTGGAAATATGCATGCTAGTCGGGAAGAAGAAGAAAACCCCTATGAGCTCCTGCTTACTGCCGAGACCAAAAGACCTGATGATCAAGGTGGAGTAAATTGTTTTAGTTCAAAATATTAGTAATAAAGTAGCAGCAGTGCAAATGCTAACTTTACACAGTTCAGTACTTTTTAGCAGTTCATTGACAATTTTGCTTAGAATTTGAGTTCAGCCTTGTTTTTTCCTTTAATAATTTGCTGAGGTTGCCAAAGATCTGGGCATATAATTATGATAAACTGTGGCTTTGTTTTTTTTTTTTAAAGTAGTCCATGATGGACCACTTTCCAGGGGGTGTTTGACAGGTGGTGATGAGGCATTATATTGCCTCACCACCTGTTTTAACCCTTAAAAACCCACACCATCATCTTGCAATTGCGTGGATTGCACATGGTTTGCAGTGCACCCAATTCAGTTAAATGGCTCACATTGGCCGGCTGGGGATGGCATCACTCCCCTGCATACGTGAGAGTTCAGTCAGATTTGGCGTTGCCAAGTTTGTACAGTGAGCTACGCGTGCCACAGCTGTGGCTTTCATCAACCACCAAGGGGACACCAGGCATTTTGCAGCCATTACCACCTTCCCACCTGGCCTATAGCAGATTGACGGCCGGGCGGGACACTCCTCCCTGTGACTGGGCGTCGTATGACGTCCTGTCAAACGGAGCCACTCACGGGGCCGCACAGCTGTCACAGGACACAGCCGATGACTTATCACTACACCGGCCCGTTGCCAGTGACCAATCACAGCAGATCACATGTCAATTGTACAATGGATGGCTTCATGTCATTCCATTCATTGTATACAATTGTGTTGTTAGCTGTGACCAAAACACACAAAGCAGTCACATGGTACAGACAGAGCCAATCACAGCCTTTCTGTATCATGTGATGAGCTTTGCCCAATCACAGCTAATCACAACAAAAGACAGAATGAATCAGTTTCATTCAGTAACCATGATTGCAAATATCAATGAAATACATTGGTATTAACAATCATAATTTGTAAAAAAAAACTCCCTGATCACTTGCCCAGAGTAGTTCAATGTTGCTATGTTAACATTGTAGTGCTTTGGTCACCGTGTGTTGAAAAAAAACTAATAAAAAGATGGAAAAATAATGTAATAAAAAATAATAGAAAAATTTGAAAAAAAATAAAAAACAATTTTTTTTTTTAACATACCGTCACCAGTTAGTGTCCCTGATCACCACAATACCAGTAATATAATAAATGCTGTACTGGACTGGTGGCAATATGTAAAAAAAAATAACTTTTTTTTTTTTTTAATTTCTACATTTTCTAAAAAATTACAACCTCCAAAAAACTAACCATGCCTCTTACTAAATACCTTGGATTGTCTATTTTCCAAAATGGGTAATTTGGGAGGTATGTATACTATCCTGGCATTTTCAGGCCTCAGGAAATGAGATGGGCCTCCAGTACATCAGGGTTGATCGTTTGTCGGATATATATACCATGGTTTGTGGACTCTCTAACTTTCCTACAGACTAAATAATATACACTAATTTGGGGTATTTTCACCAAGAAATGTAGCAGAATACATTTTGACCTACATTTATGAAGAAATTTTATTTATTTGCAAAATTGTATAACAAAGAAAAATTTTTTTTTTTTTTTTTTCAATAGTTTCAGGTTTTTTTTGTTTAGCAAAAAATAAAAACTCACTGGTGATTAAATACTACCAAAAGAAAGCTCTATTTGTGTAAAAACAAATGATACCATTTTTTATGGGTACAATGTTCCATGACCGCACAATTGTAATTCAAACTGCGACAGCACTGAAAGCTGAAAATTGGCTGGGCAAGAAGGGGGTAAAAGTACCCGGTATTGAAGTGGTTAAGTAAGCTAACCAGATAAGCTCGTGGTCCAGCGATTTCTGCTATCCACATTCCAGGAGTGGGACAGTGAAGTACATCAGCTGCCACCACCTGAATCAAGGGGAGTGGGCCCTTAACCCAGACATCTCCAGTCTGATAGCTCAATGGGGGACTCTGAATGTAGACATCCTTGCCTCCAGATTCAACAAATATTACTGCTGTACTTGGGATCCTTTTAGCGTTAGTCTTGATAATGGTTTAAGTTCAGGCTTATCCACACCTTTCCTCCAATATAAATTCTGCCCTGTCTGCTCAAAAATGATAGAGCAAAAGAAGAAAATAGTGATCCTCAATGCACCAAACTGGCCCATTAGAACCTGACAAAAACAGACATACTCAAACTTTTATTAGACGAGCCCTTCCCTCTTCCCAACTGGCCACATGTGCCATTCTCAGGGCCCTCTATCTCATTTTGCTTCTCAGTATTTGACCTTAACAACATGTTTGTTGAAGCCCATGTCTTAAAGACATCTGGTGTGAACATAGGCACTTAACAGGGAATACTCTGTGCCTGGCATTTTGGCCTTCTTACAATTGTGTCTCAATTAGAACTTGGCCACAAGAACTCTGAAAGGACAAGTTTCAGCCTCTTTCAAAGACCTGCGGCTTCGCTGTCCCTAGTAAAAACTTTTCTTCCAGGTGTATCTCACATTGCAGCACCCTGTGCTTCTTTCAGATTTCAACTTGGTTCTCTCTGCCCTGTAGAAACCACCTTTAAAACACAATAGGGATAGTCCCTTAGAAGACCTCTTTTGCAAAGTAGTTTTTTTGGTCACTACCACGTGTCACACATTTTCTGTGAGTTTGTTCGAGTAGGCTAAAATTAGAAAGGTTCAGAAAAGGTAAGACTTGTAAGCCACGGTTCCCATATTTTGGGAAATTTAGATTGTGGATCATTGAGGATACTAGATAGATAGTTTCACTAGCACCATATTCTGGTTCAGAAATTTTTGTTAGGCTTTCAATAAGGATGCAGCGATATTGTTATCGATGCCGATACCAGGTATTTTCACAAGTACTCATCCTTGTGAAAATCCTCCCGATACCTGAAACCGATACTTTGTGGTGCAATTTGCGTCAATACTAAATGTATAGATGCAAATTGCACTGCAAAGATTAGCATGCGATTTGAACAGGAATGTGATTCCTGTCCAAATTGCATGTGGTTTCCCCATCGCTTCTGTGTGAACCCAGGCTATGACAAGCCTGGGTTCACACAGGTGCAGTGGGGAAACCTCATGCGATTTGGATAGGAATCTCATTCCTGTTCAAATCGCATGCTGTTCTTTATGGTTCCGTTTTTCATCCGTACATTTTGTATTGACGCAACTTACACCACAAAGTATATCGGTACTTGGTACTTGTTATTGGTGAGTACTTGACAGAGTATCGGTGCTCACCGATCAAAAAGGATATCGGTGCATCCCTAATTTTCAACATATAATCAAGTGGGCACCAAATACACCCTAGCAGGGGTTACCAATGAAAACTGCAGGGAACAATAAACCTGCCAAGCTTGTAAACAAATGAGTTGGAAGAATCAAAAAATTGTGTTTCCCTTCTTAATCACTTCAATACCCTGCACTTTTACCCCCTTCCTGCCCAGGTCAATTTTCAGGTTTCACCGCTCTCACACTTTGAATGACAATTGCACGGTCATGTAACACTGTACGCAAACTAAAATGTTATTTGTGTTATGTGTGAACTAGAGCTTTCTTTTGGTGGTATTTAACCACTTGCCTACCAGGCACTTATTCCCCCTTATTTACCAGGCCAATTTTCAGCTTTCAGCGCTGCCGCACTTTGATTGACAATTGCGCGGTTATGCAACATTGTACCCATATGAAATTTTGATCATTTTTTTTTCTCACAAATAGTGCTTTCTTTTGGTGGTATTTAATCGCCACTGGGTGCTTTACTTTTTGCGCTATAAATACAAAATTGCAAAAAATTTGAAAAAAAAAAAAAAGTTTCTTTGTTTCTATTATAACATTTTGCAAACAGGTAATTTTTCTCCTTCACTGATGTGCGTTGATGAGGCAGCACTGATGGGCACTGATAGGCGGCACTGATGGGCACTGATAGGCAGCACTAAAGGGCACTGATAGGCAGTACTAATGAGGTGGCACGGATAGGCGGCACTGATAGACAGCACTAATGAGGTGTCACGGATAGGCGGCACTAATATGCAGCACTGATAGGCGGCACTGATAGGTGACACTGATGATGGGTACTGATAGACGGCACTGACTGGCATCACTGCTGGGCACTGACTGGCGGCACTGACTGGCACAACCCCTGGGCACTGAGGTGGTGGCACAGGTGGGTGGGCACAGGTGGGTGGGCACAGGTGGGCACAGCTGGGCACAGCACAGCTGGGCACAGGTGGGTGATCTGCTGGGCACAGGTGGGCGGAGCTAGTGGGCGCACTGCTGGGCACTGGTGGGCGGAGCTTGCGGGTGGCACTGCTGGGCACCGATCATCAGGGCACTGATCATCAGTGCATGATGCCGATCCCCGCTCTGACAACTGCCGGTTCTCGCAGTAACTTTCCTCACGATCTGACAGCGTGAGGAAAATGCAGCCGAGAACCGGCACTTGCATTTCCCTCTGATCAGCGTGTCATTGGACACTGCTGATCACGTGGTAAAAGGCCGCTGTGATTGGCCTTTTACCACATCACGTGATCAGCTGTGTCCGTAGGACACAGCGATCACGGAGATCGCCGGGTGCGCGCCCCCTGGGGCGCGCAGGAGAGCGCGTTCTGGGAGGACGTCATATGATGTCCACCCAGAACTGGCCGGCCGCAGTGCAGCCGTCATTCGGCTATCTGCGGTCGGCAGCTAGTTAATCAACACTGTGGTTTTAATTTTTTACTAAATTAACAAAAAAAGACTGAAAAATTTTGGGGGAAAAACGCGCGTTTTTCTTTTTCTGTTATAAAAGTTTGCAAATAAATAATTGTTGTTCATAAATTTAGGCCGAGATGTATTCTGCTACATTTCTTTGGTGAAAATATCCCAAATCATTATTTATTTAGTCTATCACAACAACTATGGGATATTTTGAAAATTGATCAATCCTGAAGCACTGACAGCCAATCTAATTTCTTGAGGCCCAAAAATGTCAGAACAGTACAGATATCCCCCAAAT